CAGATTCAATAAATAAAAACAAATTTAAAAAAAAAAAAAAAAAAAAAAAATAAATGGTCGATAAAATCCGCCAAATTATATAGATGATAGAAGCTCAAATCTGTTCAACGCTATATTTTGAAAGCAATGAGAAAACCGAATATTTGGAATGGAAAAAAAAAATTGGAAAAACCGGTGGTCCAATTGTATACGCCTTGGAATGCAAGTGGCTTAGGCTGCCACGTAAGTAATCAAGGTGGGGACGCCGATATTTAATTTGTGTGCATTCTTACAAAACACAACACCAAAACGCGTGCACTTCATTACTTTCTTCCCAGCCTAAATTATTCGCATGCCATGGCGTATGAGTAACAATAATGTCTAGTACATATCAATATCAATATTTAGTCCCGTCAAAATAGACATTTCAAGTCGATTTAACTTTTTCGTTTCGGTTGAAAATATGTTCGAAGATGGTTTAATGCTTAAAAATATCTTTTCAACCATACATATATAATACGTACTTGTACAGTAATCACACCCCATACCTCAAAAATTTTAATTTAGTACCTTTTCTTCTTCTTATTTTTCCGCATCGCCACAGCAGATATGACAAATGGTGGCGTACAAGGACCCTTGGAGGGTTATAATTCGCTAGATGAGCATATACTAACCATGAGTACAACACAATATCCAGCCACCACAGTTGGCTATGTACATCCGAAGTGGATAGAACCGTACTTTGATCCGTCAACGCCGCGCAATGTCACCGCACTAATGGGCAAATCGGCATATTTGAGTTGTCGCGTACGCAATTTGGGCAACAAAACGGTGAGTACTTACGCGTATGCAAAACGTGATGCACACTAACACATTTATATACATATGCAGACACACACTCGTTAAAAAGCAACTCAACATAAAGTACATAAGTACATATAAAGTGATTTCAGTTACACACTTACTTGCATAGTTAGTTACAAACTCGCTCTGAAATTCAAATACAAATACGCTGAGGCTGATGGTTTCCAGCCGTTTAGCTACGGAGGTGAATACCCAACAAGCCAACAATATTTGATAGATAAATGATTAAAAAAAATTCAAATGTTTTTAACCGTTCGAATGGGAATAATGTGTATGTATGTTTGTCTCAGAAAACCCAAGTCTAATTCTAAGCCAGATATATAGACTATAATTACGGGGTTTTAAAATACCTCAACTCCTGCGCTAGCTCCTTAGCTAATTCATATTTCGTATTACATTGTCGAAGAAAAAGTCTAATATGGGCAACCTAAATAGTTGAAAACTAGCATCTAACCGTGGTTGCGCGCATTTGACATTGCAATCTTGTTAGGCTTAGATATAACTAAAAGAGACCGATGCTTTGTATTTTGACATTTTGGAATGCACCCTATGTTTGTTTGGGAAAAATCTTGCAATCAATTTCCGATGGCCTAGTGACTTGAAATTTCACAGTTGGCTCAGAACCCAACGACAATGCAATACGAAAGATGAATTAATATGAAATATGAAAATACATACATACAACGAAAGTCAAAGAAAAGCTGGTAAAAACAGTTGTTTCTTTCCTACTGCAACCGCTATTGAAAGTATTGGTTTGCTGGGTACTAATTTTTGCAAATAGCCGTAGTTGCAGCATGGAATGTGGCATGGTGTTACAGTGTAATTGCGACACGTTCCAGCAAGGGCATCTCATAAGCGCAGCATCCACCGTTTTCAATTTTGGCATCATTTCGATTTTTTCCTTGCTCGAGTTAACCGCGATACCAGCCATGGAATGAGATAAGATAAAAAAAATAATAATTCTTCTACATTTTTGTATCCTCATTTTATGCAAACTGCATGGTTTATGTCGAAATAGTTAATTATTTAAATGTTTTACGTACTTTTATACTTCTAGTTGTTCTAATCGAGTGTACACAAGTTATCCTGAAATTGGTCCTTCCATTGTATTCGTGTGGGCCCTTGCTCGGCAGTGCTGTATCCATGGTTGCTGAGTCGAAGGATCTTGTCACCGGAGCATCATACATGCTTGATATGTGCAAGCCAGCATAATCGTTGCATTTTAATGCACTTACCATGCCATTAAAGGGTTCATAAAATTCGCCATTCTATCTTCTTCGGAATCATGCATGCAGGGGTATAGATAGAATAGTTAGTTCTCTCAAAAAATCCCTATCCAGGATGTGGTTTTAATGCTGGATTTTAGGTAAAAATAATCATTCAATTTAAAAGTGGGATTCAGTGAAGGCTAAATAAAGATAGTCGGATGTCAAAAATAAAACAATCAAAAGCAAATTCCGATTTAAACAAATTGCTGTTTTCTTCAAGAAATGCATCCAGAATATATATTTTAACATATATATTTTAATTTTATAAAAACTGGGTTTTCACCATATACTAATACGTGATACTGCAAAAGGTTCTATGCCAATTATTACCTCTGGGGCTTAATTGATCCGTTATCTCTATCTCATCGCTTCTGGCAATCGTTCAGCTTCATCAGCCGTAGGTAGACAGTTTTGTCATTCGTTTATTAGGGTGTAACGATTTGCAGATGCATTCTGGTGCAAGCAAGATACCAGCTAAGGGTCAAGGGTACTAATATACATAGACCATTTTGCACTACCACCGGCGATGTAGCTTTATAACAATTATAATAAACAATTTTATTGAGCTTGAGGTCGTGTTTCATGAAAAATTTTGTGGAAAAACAACCATAATGTACAGAGGAAGAAGGTATACATAGCTGCTATTTCGCAGATCACCACATCTCCTCATCAGACTTCTTCATTGAGTTCACCGTGATTTGACCACAACATTTTTCATAAAAAACGGCCCCAAGCTCAATCAAATTGTTGAAAATTTTATAAAAAAAATCTAAATAAAAATTAAGCATTTTTATAGTTTTTTTTTGACAAAAAAGGATATTTATTCCCCAAGAAATAATTTTTTCCAATATAATTACCTTTTTTCTTCTATAATTTTGGAATGATTTAATTTTTTTTCTACAACAAATATTTTTTTGCGAAAATCTTAAATTATGACCTTTGTTTTAATAAATCATATAAAAAGCTATTTCTCAAAAAATATTACTACTAAAATTACATTTAATTAAAATGATATCATTTTACCGAATAAAATTTGTTTTCCAAAACAGAATGATATTTCCCAAAAAACACTAATTCTCCGAAAAATATTTTTTTATTTCGTTTATTGTTTGGTAAGTAAAGATTTTGGTTAAATAATTTTCTTCTTAAAGAAATATTTTACATAAAAAATTATTTTTTCCTAAAATACTTAAAAAACATTTTTATCTAACTAAATTTTTTTTCCCCAAAAATAAATTTCAGACAAAAAAAAATTTCCAAATTTTTCCGATGTTTTTCAAAAAAAAAAATTTTTTTTTAGCCTTTATTAAATATTTGTAATTATGGTAAGAATTATTTCTCTCTAAAAAAGTTTTTTTCTAATGTATCGCAAGTTTGTTATAATTGAAATATATCTGTTTTCTTATAAAAGTATTTCTCCCGAGACCCCAATACAATAAAAAATTTTTTGGTGGTCCTTTTTCTTCAATATTTTCCGTACAAATTATGGCAACATTATAAAACATGAACAATAAAATAACTAAAATTAAAACAATATCCTTGGAAAAGGGGTAACTTATTGAAAAATATGTTTCCCTTGGCCCTGAAGGGGTTAAAGATATGTTTTCGTAAGGTGAAGAACATTTTTCATCAAGCACTGCTGCTGAAAATCAGTTAACAACTTTCACATTAATCCGCTTTACTCTTAGCACTCTGCGGGCGCTCTAATAAGGCTTATCTCGCGAATATTAGTGCACCTCGCGGTTTGATGCAGTTATATAGAGAAGTACCTTCCTTACAGAGGGCCCTGGCATTCTCGGCGCATATTCGTAGATCTTATTACAAAAGCTTGGGCCATCAGTGTCGGGAGAGGTTATTTCTGGCCCCTTCATTATAAATGGTCTTTACGTGGTGGGTCTTAACCCCAGTGCACAATCCATTGTTGGGAGAGGTTTTTAGTAGAATATACCTTTATATAACGCGAGCTGCTTCCGCCTTCATCATAGCTCTCTCTCTCTCTTTCTCACGCTACTTTGGTTTTGTAATCATTTTTCGGAGGCAATACAAATGCATAGCTCACAGTTAGATCCCTTCGATGCAGCCCTAACTTTTTACTACTGGGCTAGAATTCTTAACGTTATACACACGCACACATGCATAGTTTTCATGAAAACACAGCGTTGTCTACTTTTCGGCGTTTTGCCATCTAGCAGAGGAACAACAAATACCAATGTGTTGGTAAAGCGTGAACCACACACGCTAGCTGACATTAATGACGCCGTACAATAAGTAAAAGTACATGCATGAGCATGTTATCGAAAGTTGAAGAAAAAAGGCAAAAGGTTGAGCAGGAAATACAGCAGATGAATGCTAGTGACGTTAAACAGCAGAAAAAGCAGAAAACCGAAAATTACAGAAAAAAGGGAATAACAAATAACTTCGCCAAGCAGTGCATTGAAGAGAAAAAATATTTAATGTTTGCATGGATTTTAATACAGAGAAGAGTGCAGACGATGAGCAGAAAATAATCATGTTTAGCAACGACACCAGCAGAAAGCGTTCAATTGAAAAAGAAAATATTTTCCTTACCAGCAATTAAAGTACAAGCGCATGTGAGCACGCAGGAAAAAAGATAATAGCAAAAATTTTATTCTTCTACGCTGGATTTTTTTTATTTTTTTTTGTCATTGTGCAGCCGCGAAAATTACAATTTCGCATTACATTACTGCTTGCTACACATTTTTGCACAGCTGCGTCAATGTAAAGGACGAGAGTGAAGCGCCTTGCATTGCCGTTTTTCGTTTGGTTTCCCTTCGTTTTTTTTTTTTTGTTATTACACAAGGTGAAAAAAGATACTTGAAATTCTTGGCACATTTTCAAATTGTCTCAGTTTTAATGTGGCATACGCATTCCGAGTAAATATCTACGAAATGTAATTGCTAGCGCCTTGCATGCAGCGCAAGCGAGAATGCGAATGAGTTGAGCGTAGGTCAGCCAAAAACGGCGGCAGTGATGCTGTTAAAAAGAGCAAAACAAGATCCAACTGATACGTAAGTGACATTTGGCATTGATTATGCCATGGGCTGAAGAGCGCAAATGAAATTTTTGGGTATTTACAGATATGCAGTAGCATGTGTTCGCTTGTGGCGAGGGGGGTAGGGGATCAAAAATAAATGTAATTATTAAAAGCAATTGAGCGAATAATTCAAGCTGTGTAGTTGCATACATACTTTTTGCAAAAACTTATTAAAAAATAAAATAAAAATTTTACATGCCTTTGGGCAATTAATGGATTTTTTTTAAACACGAGTAAATATAATATGATTCTGGGTAAATATGCAATGCAGTTTAGAATGACTCCCGAAACTTTGTTTTTCTGAATTGTATGTTGAGGTTTACTTTTATTGCATCTTCTGTGGACAGTCTTAAGTTAGGTTAGTTTGAAGTGACTGCCTTCATCCAACGTAGGAGAGAGGCTCACTGAAACCCAATGAGCGGGCCCGTTGTTATACCAACTGAGAGCTCGAATTCGAAACCGTCCGTTCACCCAGAAGTCGAACCACTTGGTTTGATTCAGAAGGCTCGAGAATTCGTGAATGCCTGTTGCACTTAGGTCGGCCAGATAGGCAACAGGGTGGTGGTGAAATGAGCATCTCTCGCCCACATCTGGGCAGCGCAGTGTCATTAGCCGCAAACCCATTCTGATAGCATTCCCTCCCATTAGTCAGTGGATTGTAATGATGCCTGTCACCAGCCTTAGTAGCGGCCGTTCTAACCGAATGGGTGCGGTGGATCTTCTCTTTTCGAGGCTGAGTCAGATTTATCGAGTCGTCCCACACGTGGGTTCAGTCACTGACTTTTATTTTTTAAATCATTCGTAAAAAATTTATTAACATTTTGCGCAGTTAAAAAGGTGTTGGGAAACAAAAGTTTACTACGATTTATACAAATGACTTTTATAAGTATGATTTATAAAATATAGGTCAGTGACTGATTTTTATTTATGACTTTTAAAGAATAAAAGCCTTCGATAACTGTTATCTAAGACATATAATTTAAAAATAAAATAAAAACTTTATTTGCAGATTATTTAGATGAAAATCAAAAATAACTGTTATTTTCGATTTATAAAATAAAAGTTAGAAATAACGGCTATTTAAAGAGTAATTAAATAAAAGTCAAAAAATAATTGTTAAAAAGCGATTTGTTCAATAGAAGTTGAACTGTTACGGTTTATGAAGAATTTTATGAATTTTTATTTATAAATAGCCTTTGCTTTTAAATTCACAATATTTGCAATATACAAGAAGTAAGAGAGGTTTCAATTTCCTTTTTGTACCTCCATTCTACTCGCTTTGCTTTGTATGTAATCAGGAAATCAAATAGAGTTTCGTTAAACGACATGCTATGTGTATAACTTCATTTAATGGGAAATATTCATTTAAACTGTGCAACGTTTTATTGCTATTTATTAACTCGTACTTGCAACGCACAGACACGCATATTTGTGTGTGCAATATTTTTTCATATGCCGTAAAAGTAAAATAGTGCAATTTATAAGAATTCATGAGCACATCTAAAAAAAATATACACACATAAGCAAACCATACATATACCAGCCGCTTGTGCCGCTTACATTTCTCTCAATAAATCCTTTATGTTATTTCACTTGTTTATAGGTTTCGTGGATACGCCATCGCGACATACACATACTCACCGTTGGTGCATATACATACACATCCGATCAGCGCTTCCAGGCGACACATCACCAGGACACCGATGACTGGACGTTACAAATAAAATGGGCACAAAAGCGTGATGCCGGGATGTATGAATGTCAAATATCCACGCAACCAGTACGCAGCTACTTTGTGCGGCTCAACGTTGTGGGTGAGTAGAGATGGGGTTGAGGGGTAGTGGGGCGACTGCAGCTGTTTTGATTCGCATTCATTGTCATTAAACTGCATGCACTCACGCATATGTAGTAGGTATGTATGCACATACATACACACACACAACAACCATATATTCGTACTATGATGTAATAAATGAAGTGCGCTTACCATACTTCACTCTATACGCCATCTTATCTGTCATTCCGCGCACATTTTCCCTTTAACACTCTATACGTGCAGCCATCAAAAGCTAGTTTTACTTCCTCAACTTTGTATTTATTTGACAATCATTTCATTTCATCACAACTTCTCCTTCCTTTTGTGCATAAATTACACACGAAAACTTTTTTACTTGCCACATTCACTACGCAAACTTTTAAGTGGGCGCGCGTTAAAGTACATAGACTAGCCACATGCATACATACTACTACGCGTATTAAATGTGTATATGTATATCTATATGTGTGCGTTTGTAATTTTGTCTCTCTTTTTTATGTGTCATCCGCGTTCATGCTTTTGTGTCACTGCCGGTCAACCAAACAACCAATCCGCCCGCAACTTACCAAAAATAACCAACCAACGAACGCCGGTCATTTATTCTCCTCAACAACCGGCGCCGCTTCCTTCATTGCCGTACATTCTTCAACTTCTTCAACTGCGTGCGGTTGTGCGTGCGTGTTTATTACTTACTGCTTTTATGCTTCGCTCATTGCTCGCGTTTTTGTGTGTGTGTGTTTGCTTATCAACCAACGTACAGTGCCAACAGCGACCATCCTTGGCGGGCCTGACCTTCATGTCGACAAAGGCAGCACCATAAATCTTACATGCACAGTGAAATTCAGCCCCGAGCCGCCGGCCTACATTTTCTGGTATCATCACGAGGAGGTAATTAAAATTTACTGTTAAATTTTGTGTGGAAGGCGAGTGCCAACGTACATACATACATATGTATTTGCGTCTGAATTTTTTACATACCTACATATATGCAAACATAGATACTTACATTCTTATATTTATATTCGTGCTTTTAGCGATAATTTCCTTCTTTAACTGTACTTGTAGCTTGTGTGAATGTTATTGTTGACATTATGGTCGCCATAATGATAGGATATATTAAATTTGGCGACAGTTTTGGTTAAGTAATTTCAAAAAATTGGATTAAATGAAGTGAGTGCTTTAGTGAACTCTTTGTGGAAGCCATAATGCGCTCCATGCATATATTTGTGTGGTCCACTAACAACAAGTGAAATAGGGTTAAGTGAAATATTTTGATATACATATAAATAGATATTTACGTACTTAAGTTAGTGTGTGTTTGTTAGCAGGCTTGGTCTTGCCACCATGTCTGCGTGCGCCTTGTGTAAAGTCAAAATCAACTTCTAAAGAGGTCAGTCATGGTGTAGTAAAGTTTTCATTACTTGTTTCTGACTGAAAATTAATTTTAGAGCACTATGAAATTATCAGAGATTTCGCCGATACATATTAACATATTCACTTTATATACAAAAAAGTACCAGTGCAGGTTATGCAAATGCGACCAGAACAGGCTCAAGCCTGATATTACTTTTTGTAAAGCCATTCAATTTATTGTAAAAATTATGTCACGAATATTAAAAAAAGGAATTTTAAAGTTCTTTTAAATTTCATATTTATAATAAAAAGCTCCTGGGGGTTCTGGGATAACTATGCACTACATTAAATGGATTCTCATATATGGTGAAAGACCCCCACAATAGAGCACGTCAGAGGTCGCAGTGGACAAGCGAAAGCCGGACCAGGTACTAAATATGTGCCGCTCCACCGAATTTTTTTTATTATTTTTCTTTAACGAATTTCCAATTACATTTACATTTTAGGAATGCTAAAATGGCACAAAAAATGACGAGACTTTAGACTTAAGTTTGGGTCGCAGATTACGGATCTGTATAACGTTTTTCTATATCCGATCATTTTCCCGAGATATTTGCATTTTAAGTTTGCACAGCGAATGAAAAAAAGTGAAACATGGAGAGTATGTAAATATATGTACGGTCATGCACGACACGGCGTATGAGTAACATTATTTGCTGCCCCTATTTCATACAAAAATTGAGTGTTGGGCAGAATCGATACCAAAATTACTAGAACTCGACTGTCAAAAGGATCGACAGCATCCGATTTTTAAAAGTATCGATACTGAGTACTCCAAAGAACTCAGTACTCACAAAAGAACTCGAAAGTACTCAGTACTCAAAAATACTCTGTTCCAATAATCGCTTGGTACATATACTCAGGATCGATTAAAAGTACTCAGTATTAAATGTCGAATAGACTTAAAAAGTACTGAGTTTTATTTATAGTTAACGGTATTCAGAAATGATTGTACTCAATTTGCAGTTTCAATAATTTTCAAGTACAATATTTGTACCCAGTACAGTTAGCCATTCATTTGACTTAATTTGGGATTCATTTTTTAATTTGAATAAAATACTGCCAGCCCTATTGAGTTAGGGCATTTTTGAACCAAATTCTGAGATAGGGCGTTCTGCAAACATTTTCGAACCAAATACTCTTGCTGTATACATTTGACATATACTAGCTAGGGATGTTAGTTTTTTCACTTTTTACGATCCCGCGATTTTCGTCATGTAGTTATCACAATCCGGGACTATTAAAAAATCCGTAAGACTATGTGGAAAGTGTTCACACAGCAAGATTCTTGATTTCCGATTTTCATTAAAGTGAATTTTTGTGGTAATTTTGTAGCTCACATTATTCGGAAAGCTGCGCTTCGCCTCGTTCAGTGTGAACAGCAGTAGCTGCGATTCGCTCTGCCTTACCACTTTCTGTGTGTACGTACCCTAATTCGTAATTTTTTTTCAGCTTCGTACAAAAATAAATAGTCATGAATTCGAATTTTATAATTTATTCGGCATTAAAAACTTAAATGATACAGCACGTGACCAGCGACTTGCCAACCTTTGGAATTTACTTTACTTTACTCTGAATTCGTATGTTTTGGCATTAGTTATTCTGCAGAAGTACGCCATATTTGTTTCTCTGTTTGAATTTTATTTTCCAAAGACTTCAATTTAGTCTTTATGCCACTATGTATACTTGAAATGCTAAACTTGTATATTGCTCAGCAACGCACGCCTGACAATATTTCGTTTGCATTCATATTTTTTTTTCTTTTGTCTTCTTGTTCTACATTAATTGTAATTTACCCCTTTACTGACTTGTAAAGTTGGCGGCCAGCGCTTAAGCGTTTTAATTGTTTTATACGCGCTTTCGCTTATTTATAACGATGTTGAAAAATTTGTCAGAATACGCGCTTAGCATATCCTTAACCCGGTTTTTCTAAGCTGGTCAAACAAACAACTCCTTAAATCTGCTATGTCGTATGACCCCTGCGTTGATACCCTCTCATTAGCAGCGTAATTTGTCGTTGAGTTCGGTGCGCGCAGAATATTTTGACTTTGTTGAGTGGACGTGGACGTTGACGATGAGCATAAAACCTAAGCATTTTCCTAGTATTTTATGCCCTTTTTTGCTTTTCTATTTTTCCGCATTTCACGCCAACGCGTAGCCACTCCCTTTTTTGCGTATTCTATTTAATGTTATTTTATTTTTTATAAAGTGCCGACTTGTTTGTTACCAGCATCACTCGCAGTAACGCTGAATGTCCTGCTTCCTTCAAATTTTAATTAATATTTACAGTGGCATGAGTGCGCCACTTGTGTGTCCCTTTATCCTGTTTTGTTTTCATTCCGTTTTCTCTCTTTTTTTTTGGTGTTTTTGGTATGCCATATTTTCACTTTAGTTTCATATTTTTTTGTATTTTTGTTCGTTTTAGAGGGTTCTCAGTCTAAGCTTTTTCATATTGTTTTCAAATAAATATTTGCGTATAATTAACAGCGCTAAATGACATTTAGCCTTGGAGGAGTTGGATGGAGTTTTGCTTCATTTTCAATGGATAGCATCTTGCGTTTACTAACCAAATTTATGAGTTTCGTGAAAGCGACAATCTTTGTTTTGCATTTAGCTAATCTAATTAGCGTTGAAGGCGTGTTTTCCAACCTTACGTTAGCCGGGTAGAGCGCGGTCGGTGTGAACAATTTTTTCTAAATTTTTTCATTTAGCAGATGCTTGTACAAAATTCTCTGGTTGCTTTGGAGGGATAATTGGATAATATACTTACATAAATCAAGAAGTTCATAAATTTGATTAAAGAAAATAATTAACAGAATCTTGACACTGCTCCCTGGCGACGTTGCGGTTGAAAAAGGACACAACAAAAAATATACTTTAAATTTTTTTTTTTTGCACGAAGCTGAAAAAAGGCATTGACTGACTCAGTTGCAGTAGAGAATCAATTACGAACTGAAGAAAGTTAGGAAGCCTAATTAGTATAACATTGTGTGCAGTGCAAAATTTCCAGTCACGGATAAAAATTTGACATATGCGGCCGCCGTAGCCGAGTGGTAAGAGCCGATAGGAACTACAATCGATTTCTGGACGGAATAACAAAAAAAAATTGTTTCTAATAGCTGTCACCCCGTGGCATACTTATGTTTCGAAAGAGCTTCTCACAAAAGCCATTTGACGTTTGGAGTTGACGAAGTGATGCCGCTGCCCAGCTGATTGATGTCCTCGGGGAGAATAAGACTGATATAATCACCATCTTAGAAATGTGATGCAATGGAAAAGGTAGGGAACACATCGGAATTTGCGACACTTACTACAGCTGCCATGTAACGGCGCGTAAATTCGGGTTTGCATATGTGGTGGAAAAGGTCACGAAGATCACGCCTTAATACTCTTCAAAGCGAGATTCTTCAACATTTCGTTTGAGGCCCTACCCAGAGAGCTTTGCATCCGAAACAATATCAAAATATTGCTTGGTGATTTTAATTCCAGGATGGACAGGGATTTTTGGGCCACCGTGGGAGAATTCGGCCTTCACGACGACACGCCCGATAACGCGCGGAGGCTGGTCGACTTCACCGGGCAAAACATCTCCTCATTACGGCGTAGGTGCCAGGATGATTTACTCGGTCTTTTTAAATCGGTTTCAACCGGTTTGTTTGAATATTTTTAAGCGGTTTTTTAAACCCTTATTTATCGAACGCTGGGTAAATCGGATTTTTAGAATTCATTAAACCGGGTTTGCACGTAGTGCTTTCATATGTAGCTGCTTCACTGCTAAAAATTACTTAAAAAATAAAAGGAAACCCGAACAAAACTATTTCACTGTTGTTCTGTCTAAATCAGTGAATCGTTCTGTCTTATTTCTCACTAATGGAAGGCTCAGAAAAAGGCTTTAGTGGTTTATTGAACTCAGCCAAATGGTTTAGGCCGATACAGCGCTTATCCAGAAGAAGAAGAAGAAGAACAAGAAAAATAGGAAAATTAGGAGTTTGGGCCGATGTAAAGGATAAATGAACCCTCCTTCTTTTATTAATTAATAGTGAAAAATTATTATTATGCAACACGTAACTTGCTGAAATTAACAGTTGAATATAATAAATTCACATGCATTTGCCTTGGAGGCTGGAAGTAATGCGCCTTTCTGTTCTTAACTCTTGCTGACTTAATGGCAGTCATAAATTTAAATTTGCCACATTCGACTTAGAAAGTCAATTGGAAAAAGTCATTATATGCCATGCGCGAAATTTATCAATTCGAATACTTCGACCAGGAATGGCAAATTTTGCTGCTTTTCTTCGCAGATTTCAAATTAATGTTGGCCCAATTAATTACAGAAAACTCTTGACTTGCCTTATTAGACCCAATTAAACTTGGACATTAGAACAACTTTGCAACAAAACAATGACAAATATTCGCTAATTCCCCTTTTTTGTGTTTTTTGGCATACGATTTGTGAGTAGTTATTCGTAGCGGTTATAACGGGTGATTTTTTAAGAGCTTGATAACTTTTTTTAAAAAAAAAACGCATAAAATTTGCAAAATCTCATCGGTTCTTTATTTGAAACGTTAGATTGGTCCATGACATTTACTTTTTGAAGATAATTTCATTTAAATGTTGACCGCGGCTGCGTCTTAGGTGGTCCATTCGGAAAGTCCAATTTTGGGCAACTTTTTCGAGCATTTCGGCCGGAATAGCCCGAATTTCTTCGGAAATGTTGTCTTCCAAAGCTGGAATAGTTGCTGGCTTATTTCTGTAGACTTTAGACTTGACGTAGCCCCACAAAAAATAGTCTAAAGGCGTCAAATCGCATGATCTTGGTGGCCAACTTACCGGTCCATTTCTTGAGATGAATTGTTCTCCGAAGTTTTCCCTCAAAATGGCCATAGAATCGCGAGCTGTGTGGCATGTAGCGCCATCTTGTTGAAACCACATGTCAACCAAGTTCAGTTCTTCCATTTTTGGCAACAAAAAGTTTGTTAGCATCGAACGATAGCGATCGCCATTCACCGTAACGTTGCGTCCAACAGCATCTTTGAAAAAAATACGGTCCAATGATTCCACCAGCGTACAAACCACACCAAACAGTGCATTTTTCGGGATGCATGGGCAGTTCTTGAACGGCTTCTGGTTGCTCTTCACTCCAAATGCGGCAATTTTGCTTATTTACGAAGCCATTCAACCAGAAATGAGCCTCATCGCTGAACAAAATTTGTCGATAAAAAAGCGGATTTTCTGCCAACTTTTCTAGGGCCCATTCACTGAAAATTCGACGTTGTGGCAGATCGTTCGGCTTCAGTTCTTGCACGAGCTGTATTTTATACGGTTTTACACCAAGATCTTTGCGTAAAATCTTCCATGTGGTCGAATAACACAAACCCAATTGCTGCGAACGGCGACGAATCGACATTTCACGGTCTT